CACCCCCCCCCCCCCCCCCCCCCCCCACCAAGAAAATAGTGTGTATTCCTAATTACACTCCCATTTCAAGAAATTCAAAATTTGAAATTTGAATTTTAAATGTTTTGCCACAAAATATGCAGGGAAAATTTCTGGAAGAATCCGCAATGGAAAGCTTGTACCACCAGTGATTTGTACCACAGTTCAACGAGGCTGGCATCGCCACTGATGACACCATTCAATCAGTAAATTTCATACCTTTTGTTTCCTTTAATATTCCATTGGGATCACAAATAGAAGATCTGTGGTTTCTACCACATTTTGTATATTCCCACCATGGATCGGGATACTCATTGATATCCCACTCTGTATTATATTTATATTGCTGGCATACCACAAGGAGGGGAATTGACAGTAGTACTCCTAATATTAACATGGTTTATTTATCTACAATATAAATATAATCCAATTACAGACAGATTATACAGAACACTTTGTTATAATACAAAGATATACTTTAGGTTAATTATACATAATTCTTATTAACAGCACCGAACAATGATATTAACACTTAGGTTGATTAAAAAGATTGCAAAGTAGTGATATGATATCTAGGTAGATTATACAGAGCACATGTAAAAATATTTAATAATGATATCAAATCTGGGTTTGTCATACAGATTTCATTACAATTATACCAGGCAATGATATTAAATATAGTTTGATTATACAGATCACCTAGTTATAATACTTGCATAATATTATACATACAGTCATATCAAATCAAATGTTAAGTATACATAATTCTTTATTAATAATACAGACAACGATATTAAAACCTAGGTTGATTATAAAGATTGCAAAATAGTGATATGGAATGAAGGTTGATTGTACGGAGCACCGATATTTTGTTATTATGCTCAACACCTATAGTGAACATTATATTAAATATATGTTGATTATACAGCTGCTGGGCACCTAGTAATTATGATATTGAATCTAGGTTGATTATGCAGAACACCTTGTTAAATACATAAAAATTTTGGTTGACTTAGTTTAGTATTGTAAAAAATATTAGGTATATTCTGGAGAATTTGTAATATCATTCAAGCCAGAATTAAGTAGCTCTTAACATTTGCGAAATATCTGTCGAATGTTCTCATTACCATCTGCACTGAACATGCAACGTGGGTCAAGTTATCATTATTGGCAGAAATTCAATTTAAACAATGCATTTCTTCTCACGATATATACGATGTATAAATAGATTTCCTATATCAGAAGCCAGTGTTAAATAGTCACAATGAACATTTGGCTTTATATACATTTCAAAGTCACTAGTCCAGTGTTTTATTTACTTATACATCCATTGTAAATGTCAGTAGGACAGAAGCTAAGGTAACGCCAAAACTAATTATATATACAGGAACCTATTTTTTACTGTTTACAAAAATACTATCATTCTTTCACTTGTATAAGTCTGTCTTTATTCAGATTTTCAAGTTAACAAATAAATAAAGAAAAAATGGAAAAAAGTTAATATCTAAATAAAATTTTGTTCACAGACGATATTTTTGTGTCAGGTTTATTTTAAGCCATCAAAAACTAAAAATACAATATCAAGATCTATAAAAGTTTAGATATTCCTTTTGAAAAATCAAAGTTTCTCATAAATTATATTTCTAACATCAAAAGTGCGTATCTAAGTAAAGGTTATCTGAGGTAGTTGTGTTAGATTACAATTTTGACATTTGATTTACAAACATCAATATGGTCCACAGCTGTCTTATATATTTGAAACGATGAGTTTCCACTGAGTTTTGAACATCATATCGTTATAAACTCTTGTGATGTGATTATAAGCTATTGAAATATTAAAATTGCTCTAGATATGTTAAAGAATAAGCTCTAGAGATATTAAAGAATAAGCTCTAGAGATGTTAAAGAATAAGCTCTTGAGATGTTAATGAATAAGCTCTTGAGATGTTTTAAATATACTCTTGAAATGCTAAAAAGAAATTTGTTTCGCATTCAGTCATTTTTTTTATCTCATATGTCCTGTCCAACATGCCCATTGACTGAACAACACGAATATTAACAATTGGTGGCGAGTTTAGCTCAGCAATTAAAAAACCTCTCTTTACCAAAATTATATATCGGAATAATGTTAAAACAATTATCACTAAATCACTTAACTTATCTTATACTCTATAAGTGAAATCTATTTTCATTAAATCTGTAAAAAAATTAAATACTTACAATATAATTAAGGATCTATTATAATAGGTTCATATCATCACAAGAAAACTTTGTCTATAAATAATCTCAGTGTCTATACAACACACGAACACAATCTGATACGCTCCACACAACTAACTCATCCTTCATACTGTACCTGTTGCTGCCGTCCTAAAATGGTAACAGGTCTACTGTATAACAGTGGTATACTGGGTAAAATACTCGGCTGGTTCTTGTTAGAAGTCTGATAATAGTCTGTGATTCATCTAATAAACACCGGCTAGATAACATCTTGTAAATATATCAGTACTTTGATATAGTCTTACTCGTCAATGAATTTAATTTATCATTTAATATGTAAAAATGTGTGCATGTTACCATTAGAACGTAACACAGCATATTTAAAAAGGTTCTCACAATGTAAATTAATGGACTGGAATGAATTGAAATGGAGTTTTACGTCCTTATTTTCTCTTCCAGTTTGATATGTTTCCATTGGCCTACTCTTACACTATATACCCTCAACTGTCTAGAAATCTTTTCACAGCTACATCTCTGAACCTTAGTTTCTTGTCTCACCTGAACGTCAAGACGTATTGTTCATGTCAGATCAGCTGTTATGCATTACTGACAGGAGAAACCAGGGGTATCAATTTAAATACTCCTCGAAAGGTTGCATGAATGAAAACTGCTTCAATATGTACCAGTAATTCAAACTCTCTTATGTGTCGAAGCTGTTTTTTAAACCAGTTCAATTGGATTTAAGTGTTTTCAGCATTAAAAATTGAAAATACAAGTGCCAGTAGGCTACCTTGAGTATCCCGAAATTGTGATGCGGTTTTTAACCTTTTGTTATCATATACTCATTTTTTTCTGTAAATATTATTTCATAATAAATTCCTGGATCGAAATCTATCGATAGTGTGCAAACTTACAAGTTCAAATCAGACTTGCGATAAATTTCGATGTTAAGATTATTTTGTGAAACAAGGTTCTGGATACTTTTTTCATCAACATTAAAAAACTTTATTAAAGGGATTATAAAGGGGTTTTCTAAATTTTGTATGCGTACCGGAGACACTGATAGCATTAACTTGCACACTAAGTTGTAGTAGAATTGCTAGAAAACAGAGACGTCTGATTGCAAATTGGAATGGTGCAAATTGATGCTATCATTGCCCCCGATACACAAACAAAACTTAAAAAAACCTTTTTACAATCCCTTGAAGGGATTATTAACTGTAAAAGATGCACGAAATGTATGATGGTACTATAGGAAAGGTTTCTGGAAAGGTTCCATTATGCAATCGATATTTTGGAATTAAGCTGTTATAATTAATTTTGTTATAATTGACTAGTTGATTGTCAATAGAAACTGGTTTCTGTTCGACCACAATAATCTCAAAATAGAGAGTAAATATAAAGCGGTAACCTCCTTACTCGAAAGGTTAAAATATTTTTGACATACAATAGCTTTCTGGTTTGAATCATTTTCATTTGGCTTCAAAATAACGAAAGGTTTTAGATGCGTTCTGGAAACTCTCTTTCATAATCCATTCATTCTTTTGATAAGATTTTTTTTGCTAAATTTTTATTTTCTTTGAATGAGGTATGAATATGAATAAAACGTGTTGGTGAAGTTTATCGAAATCGATGGTAACAAAAGCGATAAATAAACTCCATGATTAAGATTTTTTCGTGCTTATCCTGTAAAGTGACCTACGTCCATTTGATTGATCTGTGAGAAATTCCTTATGGTTAACACTGTTTTTTGCTCTTAAACTTCCTTCATTTGAAAGTCCATCTTAAGGAAAGAAAGTCCCATTTCTCACTAAAGGAAAACATAAATCACACGATAATGTGCAAACAGTATATAGGTAAAAAGTCGATTCAATTAGAGTAAATGTAGCTAGGTTTCGGGACTAATCCCTTTCTCAAACGAAAAAAACAAAAAAGCGAGAAAGGTTCTATTTCTATGTCAGTTTAGTGTTGTTCTTCGTAGAGATAGCACATTTCTTGTTTTTTTTTGGTTACTTTCGCTTGATAAAGGGATTAATCCCGAAGCGTAGCTAAATTTACTCTAATTGTATCGACTTTTAACCTACTGTTTGCACGTTATCGTGTGATCTATTTTTTCCTTTATTATCAGTCGACTCGTTGTTTTATTTTATGCACCATTTCTCACAATTTCTCACTATACAATTATGGTTTGGACGAATTCCGTCTTTGATCCATTTGTTTGGTATTAAGTTTATATAAGTAGAATTCTAACAACTGCATGTCCTCTGGTGATAGGTAGTGAAACGATATTGTTTCGTTGCTTAAATTTCCGTAACCCTGGAAACAGATAATAACATAACTTAGACGTATAGTTGACAGAAATTCATTTTCATAAGTGATGATTTAAAAAGTATTACAGGTAGCCTGAAGTATCAAATATTTTTAGTGAAAGAAACTAATGCCGAGAGAGAACCTCTAGTTCCCCTTAACTCGCCCTCCTATATTATTTAAGTGTCTCTCTTAGGTTAATTTGCGAATCAATTATCAATTGAATATCTTTAAAATCATATTTACCCATTTGAGTTTATTAACAGAATATGCATCTAACCATTTTGGTTTCAATTCCTTTTTTAAATAGACATGTGGAGACAAACTATGGAATCTTTCTCTACCCATGGAATCCGTAGTATTAGGGGCTGTAAAATTATATTTCTCGGCACAGGCCCCAACTGCCATGTCTTCGATATGTTGAAAGTTAAATTTTACAGCATCAAAGCATTTTTCAACAATTATTTTAACACTCGCCTTGCTCAATACGTATCCTGCACCACCACTCATATAATAAGTAGTTCCTTTAAACTTCGAAAACTTCTTTCCAAAGTACAATTTGTCATTTGGATTAAAGGCGCTGAGATAATTTTTGAGATTTTCCATTATAAAAAAGGCATCATCATCCGCTTTTATAAACCACTCAAACTCGTCGATTTCATGGTCATATACATACTGTAATGCCAAACGTGTTTTCAAGCCTAAAAGTTGTCTGGATTCTGTAATGTTCAATAAGATGGTCGGGATATTAGGCAATGTCTTATTGCTGAAATATAACTGCTTATCACATCTTTTAGCCCAAGTATTTTTGACTGCCAGACTTTTATTGATATTTTTAGGATATGTGAAAATCAAACACAATATTTTTCCGCTGGAATATGTTGCATTTTCAAAGTTTCTGGATTGGTAAGGAACTGAAAAAATAGGAATATAATTACGATTAAAACGTTATATAGTCATAGTTTCTTGATCACCTAATACCGGCCGTTTTAAGTGTCTACCATCTTTCTGAATGAAAATTGTCTAAAGCACACTTGTATACGCCAAGTACTTGTTTCTATCAGTGGCGCCACTGACTCCAAATGAAAACTACTATTCAAAATTCAATGACATTCGGGATTTAGGCCCTTTATTTGCAGATTTAACTTTCAAAAGTCTGCAACATTACTGCCACTGTTTCCTATACATCAGTTCCTTTTTTTTTATTTGTATTAATTTCATTATTAATATAGCCACTTCAGTTAGAGTCTAACGACAGCACTCTGGAACGTTCGTCAAATTAATATTACAAACTACTTAATATGTGTCTAAATGAAATTTGAATAAAAAAAAATTCTCAAGAAAAGTTATGGTTTATACAGTGCAAGTGCATGAAAGAAAATGTATTGATTTACGCTAATATATGAAAATAAGATATATGGACATTAACATTAACACAAACGTGTTTATAAATATTGACATTTCGTGGACATGGCGTCAATGATATTTTAAAGAGATATTATAATTTGTTATACTACATTGGTAGAAAATGCTTTTGCTGAAACTTATCTTGAGACACGTGTCCCCTATTTTATCTTAAAAATATTAACTCAAAAAATCATGCCGTAAATATTTAACACCAAAACTATTTAAAAGTTTAAGTTTGTAATACTTTTTCGTACGTGTTCGGATTTTATGCCTATTTGTAGAGAACTATGTCTCCTACATATTCTCATGTTTTTCTTAAAATATTGATTCTTTATAAGGCCAACATCAACATTAGTTTATGCTGCATACTTAACAATCAGTACACTCCACATGCATACTGGCCTTAAACAATGTGATTCGTGGACATCTGTGTTCACGATTGTATATACATATACATAGACATACCACCTGGTTAAAGACCTAGAAAAGATATCTTACCTTTAAAATATGTGTCTTTTAAACCTACAAGATGTGAAAATCTATAACTGGTCAAACTAATGGCTTGATTCAATACTGATAAAGATATCCATACTATTAAACAAATTAATACAATAAATACTATTTTCTTCATTACTCTTATTGGAATTTACGCAGACAGCAATATTAGCCAGTAGCCGTTAGAAAGAATTGATTATGTTATAATTTCCATGTAACAGCTTGAAATTTTTGCTATATGTCAAGAAGCTATTCTAATAAATCTGCGTAAAAAACTAGAAGGCCCAAAGATTCCATTATTTAATCTCTGTCAATGGGGAGTATGTTTAAAGATGTTGTACTGGTTGAATATTCCAAACCATATTATCTTTTTGAATATGGGCTATTACAGTGTAGATGAAAGTTCTCGGCAAAACCAGTTCCTAGTCCAGCTTCAAAGTGTATTTGGTATCTTTCAAAATCGTAGTGGTCTGACAACATTAGGAATCTATCCGAGTTATTTCCCTTCGCCACAAAAAATGAGTAACATCTGAGAAAATGTGGCAGTAGGATTTAAACATTGAAATGAATACAGAAAGTAACGAATTAGTTCATTATCAAATTATGTACAAATAAGAATTTCTAGAATAATTTTTTCGTTGTTCAATTATCCGTCTCCACAAGCTGACTAAAGCAATGAGGAAGATAGTCACATAATAATATCGAAGAAAAGGGAGGCCCGAATTGCGCTAATGACTAAGGCAACTACAGGCCTTGCAATGGCATAACCAATTCCAACGCGGTTAAGGTTAGCTTGGAACCAACCTTACCTGGTGGTTGTAATGGGGTAGGGTGAGATGAAGATTTCTTTCTTATACAATTTTTTTTTTTTAAATTGGTATGGTACCAAAGAGGATACCCTTACTTTCATAGTGTGTCCAGATTTGATCTTTAGTACTTACGAATATTGGATTAGTGATTTTTATCATGACATTGGTGTTCTTGATAACGAGTCAATAAACCCACCTATAGTTTAGAAGCATACAGCATTATGAACACCCAGTATATAGAAAAATCACCTGACCTGCGTGATGCAGATTGTATACGTTTTTGTTAAAGTACAGGCTAACTCTGTACAAAATATGAACATCAACGGTAACAAAATGTACAACTTTTCTCGGTTTATGTAAAGATTTAATTCGCCTGTGATGATTGTATCTTTCTATCACTTTTTGGCACATTATATATGACAGACAATTATATTATTTTTCCGCGCTGTGTGACAAACATGATTATGAGAATTGTGATGAACGGTACCACATCTGAATAAGTTTTTAACGAAATGATGACAATATTACAGGTTTTCAGGAAAAAGTACAGAATTCTTTGTGTACACATAACAGTATTTAAAAAAAAATCGTCGACATTAACTTCCTAGTGCATGATGCTCCCATTGAGGGGTTACAATTTCGAAAAACACTGGAATTTAAACGCCTTTTTGAGTGATGTTCTTTGATTTAACAAAACTTTTTCAAGTGTGGTACAATATTTGTACTCTTATCATTGTATCCAATATTGTTGCTACACTTCTGTTTCTGTTTGAAAGCCTTGCCATAATGTAGTTAGCTAATTAACACCAACCTGGATACAAATAATCAATTCTTTTCACTGGTTATTTCTTATAATGTTTTGTTGTATGCTTCTCATGTTTGATGTTATTAAATGTTACACCACATTATATAGATAAATCGTACAATATCACTTAATACCCATAATGCGCTTAATACGATCATCACACAAAGAATTGCTATTTAATATGAATCCTAAATATATTGATATTTTGACCTGTCAAGTTCTAAAGAAATGGTGAATTTAGAATAGGCCTACGTAGCCAATGGGAAACGACATAGTAAATGAATTTTACACTTGATTGTATTTATTATTATGACAATCAAGTAAAAACCTCCATATTTGAATATTTAAACATTCTTTTGCAATACATATAGAAGGTAAGTCCAGTTGAGTTAAGCTTATATATGTTATGGGGCACATCGGTGATTCGATTCTTCAAAATAAATATTTTCGGACGCCCTAATTCTAGTAGCTTTTCTAGACCACATTTCGAAAAATTTTTGTAAACAAGTATAATTCTGGGGAGGGAGGTTTTGATCGCCTAAATTTATTACCAATGGGAGATATCAAAAATTAATTCCATAAATTTTCGGACATGTTTATTCTTTATTATTCTAAACGACGCTTATATGAAATTCCTCTGCAGAGAGTGTTATACAAAGTGATAACTCAATTCGAATCTGCTTCCAATCAACCCTTATTTTTATCTAACAATGTTTTTTTTTTCATATTAACAAATTTCAAGAATATATATTATGTATTTGTACAGGCGACTGGTCAAAATGACATCTAGCAAAATTTTGTCTAAAATGAACGTGAAATCATCTTTGTATGTGAGCTAACATTTTGCCAGAACAGCGGCATTAGGCTTTCTCTTTTTCGATTTTCATGCACAGCCTGTAGCACACTGGGCCTCGATTTATTGTACCACCCGAGCGATTAGAACTTGAAGGTAAAACAATTGAAACAATATTTCAGTGTTCAGTGTCAACAGACCTGAATAAATTATAATTTACGACTCTAATTACGCCAACTCACATTCTATCATACACTCATTATTTAATTGTTGTATTTTTTTAAAACTATAAATTGTGTGTTGTTTAAATGGGAATTCAAATCAACCTTGACTGACAAAACTGGAAAAAGTCAACATCTGATAGAATCGGGTCAATCGCTGGATTTAAATCGATTTTAACACTTTTGCCAACACAGTTTCCTCTTGCAGCTAACAGATGCCCGTCTTTGCGAACATTCTTGTTATTGCAGTTGTAAGACTTGAGTCCTCTTAACCCATAAAATGACAATTTGCATACAACTAGCTTCCTCCGAAAATATAAAATTTTTATAAATCTTTATAGTTTAGAAATGTATAAAGTACAAATTTGTGAAAGCAGATGAGAGATTTGGACTTTTCATCAAAATCAATCTTTGTAGTCATTGTAAGCAGAGACTATGGTTTAAATGTGGATCAAGTGGCTTCGTGTAAGAATGCTTCAGAACGCTGTGATTTTCTACTCTTTCAAGTTTTCCACAGTGCTGAATTGACTAATACATGTACGTCCCACTTAATAAGGTCACATATTACATATTACTTTCTGAATATCAGTGAACTGCATTTAATTTAATTTAAAAGTGGTCGATTAATGTAGGTGGTATTGGAGTTCACCAGCTCGACAAATACCTGTGACATTCTGTATGTAAGTTTATTAATTGTATATTTCCAATTCATACTACTTTCAAACCTGTGAAGCAATCGGTGTACTTCTACAATCCCAGGTTTATGATACGAGTCAATACGTTTTGAAACTCTTTATTTCGCTCGTATATGATCTGCTCACGATTTGCCAATTCTGAGTGTCATGGTATGATCTTCGGTCCGGTCCGGTCAGATAGGATTGTCTGGTTTAAGTTCTCGACTGGGTCTTACACGATAATCACAACCGGGTCCCTTGATTCGGTACTCTCTTGTACGTTCAGATAGATTTTGGTGCGTTCATCAATAACTGATGAACTCCGTTATGACAGGGTACGATTTGAGTTACTACTAGACCCCGATGAGCATATGAACAACTCGATTGGCTATGATGTTCATTTTTGTCTTGAACATTTATTTTATGTTCCAAATATTGCGATTCGCGGTACAATTGAAATTATGGTCTTATTTTTGTGGACAAATAGCGATTATCCTATCAGATCTGGGGGTTGGTAGTGGCAATCGTGAAAATTTAAAAAACTTTTTAACGGTTCAAACATTTTCAACAAACAAAACGATCAATAACATTGGCACTCGGGATCATGGTATCAGATCGTTTTGCATCGTATAACAAAGCGAGACGACACAATGTTTTAGATCATTCCTTCATAGCCTAAATCAATGAGCTCTTATCTAAAACGGAGAATTCAGTTTCTCTATAATTTAACATCCTAATTAAAACAATCAACAAAAGTGGTAACAAACCAAGCAACGATCCAGAAGCATTTAGAGAAATGTTCATACTGCGAATGCAAATGTCTTTCAACGAATTTGATAAGATGGTCCATCAGAAACCATTGTTATCTATACGCGTATTATCCTATCTTCAAGAGACCATTCACCATTATAGAGAGGGGTGAAATAATCTATACGCAAGCTTTCTGCACATAGCCAACTCATTTGATTCTGTTCGACACAGTAATCACAATGACAAGTTAAATTCAAGAGGAATCTCATCCCACTCTGGAATCTAAAATCTTTACATGGATATTAATATCAGCATTAGGATTGGTAAGCAACTGTCAACTCTCGGACGAGGAGAACGATAAGTTGACGTCTTATCTGGAAAACATGGAAAGTACATAGAGGATGTTAAAGAGTGCTTAGGTCATATGAATTTGATGAAATGAGTTGCCAGATTTAATATTACCTGAGCCTTGGCGAGTGACACAATAATTTTATACGACCACGAATTTCATAAATTCCATGTTACACTCACTTAATTGAAACTTGTAGTCAAAGCTCTCTTATTTGGAGCAATTTCATGCCCTTTACCTTCCATTTGAACTGAGTTGTAAACTTCAAAGTATGACATGTTTGTTTTCATGGCGCATGGATACATGGCCTTATTTGCATAGTAAACTGTGTTACGAGTTCATATCGTTTTTATGAACATGTTTACTGTTGAGTGATAAAATATAGTATTTGACATTGAATATAACACATAGACAATTTTTCATAATTATTATACGACTGTCGAAATCATATGACATTATGTGGGCCAACTCATTTGGAAATCTACACAATACAAATTTAGACAACATCATTTTTAGAATAATTTATAAGCATATGCATGGAAGAAAAGGGTATATTTTTCAGTGTGCACAAGATGTTTTTTATTTCATAATTTGAAATGCCTAAAGGGCAAGGATTCAGTCGACGTTGATTCAAATCATTCTGATCGTCCCTAAAAAGAAAAAAGAAACACAGTTAATTTACACGAGAAGGTAAGGTGAGCGGTTTTGGTCTAAAATGGTTTTTGATACAAAACTATGAGGTGATTCTTACACGCACACACAAATAGCTGTGATCAAATTCGCCCGATTAGCTATGGCATGTTTTAAAATGATTCTTATCTGGATAGTGCGGTAGTAAAATATTATTGTATGAGATATTAGCAGTTTAATCTTCTATTTTTATAAATTATTTATACTAATGGTCAATCAATAATGCTTAACCAGTTGATATTAAAGCAGGACTGGCTTAAGAAAAGAAAAAAAAAAAGGTGAATTTCTCTTCGACCTGAGGTCGGAATGTCAAAGTTTAGATATTGTAGGTAATTTTTGGAAAATCTTACCAAAACAAATCCTTAGAATCGATGGATTTTCTATTAAAATCGAAGCTTTTCATGCACAAAGTTTAAATAAATAAACCAATTCCAACGATACGAACTGTAAAACGAACTGCAAACAAAGTATTGGCGACATGAACTTTTCAAATGAGGAAGTATATAAATCATAAGTGAGTGAGTATTTCATAATGACCATTTTATTTTTCAAATTCGTCTTAATAAGGTCAGTATAGCTTTAATTATTATTATTTGTATTGTTTTAAGGTATTTCCTACTTAAATTAACAAAGTATGCTTTCATCTTCCATGATCAATTGATTTCCGTTTGACATCAGGTAAGTCTTTACGTTTTTTTCTGTTTAAAATTGTTTTTTTTTAACAAGTGTTTTCAATATAATCACCTCATAAAAAATATGATCACTGTTACATTGATGTGATCACTGTTGTAATGAAATGATCACTGATATAATGAAATCACTGATATAATGAAATCACTGGTGTCAATGTATCAATGTTATAATGATATGATAACTGATATAATGATATGATCACTGTTACATTGATGTGATCACTGTTGTAATGAAATGATCACTGATATAATGAAATCACTGATATAATATAATGAAATCACTGATATAATGAAATCACTGGTGTCAATGTATCAATGTTATAATGGTATGATCACTGATACAATATGATCACTGTTACATTGATGTGATCACTGTTGTAATGAAATGATCACTGATATAATGAAATCACTGATATCATATAATGAAATCACTGATATCACATAATGAAATCACTGATATAATGAAATCACTGGTATCAATGTTATAATAATATGATCACTGATACAATATGATCACTGTTACATTGATGTGATCACTGTTGTAATGAAATGATCACTGATATAATGAAATCACTGATATAATGAAATCACTGGTGTCAATGTATCAATGTTATAATTATATGATGACTGATATAATGATATGATCACTGTTACATTGATGTGATCACTGTTGTAATGAAATGATCACTGATATAATGAAATCACTGATATAATATAATGAAATCACTGATATAATGAAATCACTGGTGTCAATGTATCAATTTTATAATGATATGATCACTGATGCAATATGATCACTGTTACATTGATGTGATCACTGTTGTAATGAAATGATCACTGATATAATGAAATCACTGATATAATGAAATCACCGGTGTCAATGTATCAATGTTATAATGATATGATCACTGATACAATATGATCACTGTTACATTGATGTGATCACTGTTGTAATGAAATGATCACTGATATAATGAAATCACTGATATAATGAAATCACTGGTGTCAATGTATCAATGTTATAATGATATGATGACTGATATAATGATATGATCACTGTTACATTGATGCGATCACTGTTGTAATGAAATGATCACTGATATAATGAAATCACTGATATAATGAAATCACTGGTGTCAATGTATCAATGTTATAATGATATGATCACTGATACAATGATATGATCACTGATATAATGATATGATAACTGTTAGAATGATATGATCACTGATATAATGATATGATCACTGTTGCAATGATATGATCACTGATATAATGATATGATAACTGTTAGAATGATATGATCACTGATATAATGATATGATAACTGTTAGAATGATATGATCACTGATATAATGGTATGATAACTGTTACGGTAAAAGCGTAAGTGACCTATTTCATGTTTCACTTTTCTGACCTGTGGCATTTTTGACAGTATAAAATTGACTTGTTTGTTCTAAAAAGTTGCACAAGATTTATAGTCACCACTACTTTGTTTTTATAATTTTAATGTTCGTCTGGAATGGCATTGCCCGAATATATTAACTCGATCAGGTGCATAATTTCCAATTCTGTTTCACTTAACAAGACAGTTATTCAGAGGCAACTCTATGTAATGAAGTACCCGACCTATCGTCACATGACTCTATTTCTGTGGATTTGTCATTCAGCAATTTGCTCTTTAAGCCGACTCTGAATCTAACTGTTGCATAGCTTCAGCGGACTTCGATCGGAAAACAATTTGTTGATTTTGTGAGTCGTTTTGGGAAATTATGAATGCCGTAATTTGGGTGGAGGGATGTGCGTGTGTTTGGCAGGGAGGGGTGTGTCGGGGGGCTTAGAAAAGGTTATTGTTAAAATATTTTGCAGTGGTCTTTGTAGAAAGCAAATATGTATTCGGAAGCACAAAGCTATGTATAAGTTCAGGCGGAAATACTGTGGCATCCATTATTAATTGGATTTAGCCGTCTATATATCGTCTTTATTAGCTGATAAGAGTTCAATGTAAGATGTCAATATATCGGTAATATCTACTCGTGAGAACATTCCCTTTGTACAGACTCGAGTTTTCTATAATTTTGGTGCATGTGCAGATCCACAAGGTGTACATTTGCATTAACTACATATCAACATTTGATTCATTTGCTTAAGTTTTATTTGCTTTTTTCATATCTTTGATTAAAGACTTTGCTATTTTTCAGAACAAATCAAGATGTATTTTGATGATATATTAAAACAGATTGGAGAGTTTGGTTTATATCAGAAGAAATTATATTTTGTCTTATGTCTTCAACCTGTAGCTTCGGGATTATTACAGTTATTGTCCATTTTTACTCTTGCATCTCCAGACCACAGGTAATAACATCATGGATCAATTGACATCGGGATGTCTGATAGTCATCTTGTTGTATCTCGCGATTTTGACCATTATAGTAGTGACGGGTGTCGCGCAAGAATCGGAACACCTGATGGTACTTCTCTGTGGAGCTGTCCACAACTCTACAACTTTTAACTTTTACTCCTGGACGAAATTGTACGGATTTGTATTACTCAGATGTCGGAATTCACAAAGTACACTGGATAAGGCATGGTATTGCTATCATGGAATCTTTCTTGATAAACGACAATTAAGTTTCAGAGTTATAACCACGAGTTATATCTTAATGTGATCGAATTGAATATAAACACATAATTTATATGTAATTAAATTGTTGTTGACAGATGTGCTATACCTGGTTATGATAATGATACATTTTCACCTCAAGATGAAAATCATAGAGAATTAATAAACAGCTCAATACCCGAATCTTCGAAATGTTTCTTACAAAATACTACAATAGATATATATGGTAATATTAGTATTGTTCAATATAAATGTAATTCGTGGGTTTATGATACGACCACATTTACATCAACACTCGTAACGGAGGTAAGTGCATTTAGTTGCATATTTTCAGAAACTTTTTTGAAAAGTAGAACAAGTGTTAATTTTCCATGGCCAATTGATTTGTGTCTAACAAAATATAATGGATTTAAAATCCATTTGTTGCGCTATGAACTGGTCTTGCAAGGATGGATTACTATGGCAAATCGATTAAAATGAAATGTTCCTTTAAACGGTTTCGGGTCTGGCATGAAAGGCTGGATTTTCAAGGCTAATCGGAAAACAAAAAGAAATGAACTTCTGTACCTATTCATTTGCTTCGAACTCAACATGAAGAACCCATTGAACAAACCTTTGTCAAGACAGCAACATCAGTTTGCCCTTTTTAGATTTTGAGTTGTTCGTGGATCTGTTACATTTACAGCCTGCAACTTGATTGAGTTCGCCATCCTTTTAATTATTTCAGTTTGATCTAGTATGTGATAATTCTGTTAAGAAGAGTAATGCTGTTATGTTGCTATTTTTGGGATTGTTAGTGGGATATGGTGTAATGGGGAACGTTGCTGATTTGTGAGTATCTTTAGTATTCAAAAATCTAAAACAAAAATGACTTTCTGCACAAAAACATTCTACTGGTCGGTTACTTTTATATTCAAGTCATTAACACTCAATTCCTAAAGAGTTGCCCTGATTATGAAATTAATTCCTCTGGTATTTTTTTTTTAGTATTGGACGTAAACCATTGATGGTGGTATCCAACTATTTGTGCTGTATCTGTTCATATCTTACTGTATGGTCACCTAACTATATATTTCTCTTAGCAATGAGATTCTGTATGGGGCTGGGAATGGCGGGTCAATCTCTTGCCATCTATATAATCGGTAAGCTGGTACGATTTGTAGACCGATTATATCATGAATAAATCAATAAAATGGCGGCTTTGTGTGGATTGGAGAACGTATATTTATTTATAATACTAAGATCATAATGTTCTCTTAGATTCCAAAAAAAGCTCAAGTAATTGTAGAAGTTTTCTTAAAATGTGGTCTCGGTTGTAAAAAAAAATTGCTTTCATTCAAAAAGATTCGCTAACAAACAGAAAAGGGTTTTTATTTTCGAAAAAAAATAGAAAAGAATAACCACTTAAGACTTTTGATCTTTAATTCTATTTTCTAAATTTATATTTGGTATAAAGGAGTAGAATTAGTTGGACCATCGAAACGAAGATTTACAGGTATTTTAAGTAATTTCTACTGGTGTTTTGGGATGATTTTGATGTCTGTTTTGGGATATTTCATACGAGATTGGAGATATCTGAGATTAGCAGTATCTGTGTATACTACAGTATTATTAACTTTTGTTTGGTAAGTGACTTCATACTTCCATATCAAGCTATAAACACTGGCACGTAAGATCTGTTCTGGTTTGTTTCCAGTTTCAATAAGAGTAAAGATAGATCAAATGAAATAAAATTGTCGTGGTTAAGAATCGGGCGGGTGGCGATAGCTGTCAGTCAAAATGTCATGTGATAGTTAAATTCTTAATCATTTAACAATCAAATTTAGCCAAGCGCTTTGGATCTTGAAACTGTTATCTTTTATAAAACCCAACACCACAAACGTTGGTGAAATCAAGACCTTGCGGCTTTCTGATAGATCAACATAATATGTTGATCGATTGGAGATAATAAAAGTGGTACCATGTAGACCAAATAAGGTCAATGTGGTTTTCCGAAAATCCGCCAGATTGACTAAAATGTCCTAATATGAAAATATTTAGTTTATAAATTGGTATTTTTCAGTTTGATACCAGAAAGTCCTCGATGGCTATTAACCAGAGGTTATAATGCCAAGGCTCATGCTCTCATACAAAAAGCAGCAGAAGTCAATAAAGTTGAACTAGACGACGAAACTTTGAAGAAATTATGTGTCTCAGATAAGGTCACTAAACTCCGGTTTTGGAAAATCTTCACGTCAAAAACATTATGTGTTCGAACATTAGTTTGTTACACTTGCTGGTAAGTATCTTTTAACACATATGAGTAATTTGCTCGCTCAAAGGAGTGGAAATTATATATTATACCTTAATTTCCTAAAGTAAAAGCCAAAGCAGAAACCTCGAATTCAACAAGAAACGTCAATGTAAAACCTAAGTAAGGTCAAGGGTTGATATGTTTTACCTCGGGGGTAACTATACAAAACAATCACTCGCAAAGCGCTACATGAAATATATTGCTTTTTAAGTTTTATAATACTATTATTAGCCGTGTTTTTTGCATTGATACTCCTGCCCATTTCTTCTACAAACTTCTGAACATGTACATTATTGTCGGCTGATGTATGTACCATAATTGCATCTCAATAATTGATCATACCAGACGATCTATATAGTTAGTTAAGAAATATTAAAAGGATCGTAAAGAGGTTTTCTAAATTTTGTATGTGTATCGGGGACACTGATAGCATCAATTTTCACCATTCTAAGAGCAATTCCATTAAAACTAAGAGTTTGATGATCGCTATTCGCAAAATATGTTTTTATCACATAAAGCCATTCCCGATTAGTGAAGTCATCAAACACTTAGTTTTAGTGCAATTGCACTTAGAATGGAATGGAAATACAGACGTCTGATTGGACAGGAGCAAATTGATGCTACCAGTGTCCCCGATACCCATAATAAATTTAGAAAACCTCTTTACAATCCTTTTAAACATAACTATTTGTTTTTCTCCCATTCTATCATCTTCTGGCTTTAAATTTCTGAAGCTCATCGCACTAATAAAATAGTTCATCACTATTTGCATATGCATGGTATGGAGACTTCGACCGTAGGTATCGATACGATTACTTTTCATCAACTTTTGTAATGAATTATCTGGACTAAGCAACATATGTTATGGGCGAGATTTACAGATTCAAAATAACCTCGTTAATATCTTTTATCATCCTATCGTAAATTATTTTTTTCGTTTCTATGATATACATGTACTTACCTTGCGCATCACTTAGTAACCTATTTAGATGACCGCTATAATTTGTGCCATTTCATCAGAATCACTGGTTAGACAAACGCTGAACTCAGGGCTTATAGTTGCACTGCATCCTCTTTAACTCCTTCAAGACAAAAACAGTTCTTGCATTTTATTCTCATATACCATCTTGCATTTGTATATCTCGTAGGCAGCTAGTCAATGCCTGATAATGGTGTTGGAACATTGAGGGTCTGTCTCGTTTTCCATTTATTTTGATCTGGATTCGCCTCTAAATTCATGAACAAAAGAATTTGATAGAAAACAGACCCTCAATAATCATAGTATATTACATGTATGTCTATTGCTTTACAGGTTTGCAGCAAGCATTACCTACTTCGGAATAATCTTGAACTTAGAATTATTGGTTGGTAATATCTATCTCAATCTCTTCGTGGCATCAATTCTAGAAGTCGTTTGTTATCTACTAGTGTTCCTGTTATTGGACAGATTAGGCAGAAAAAATCTCATGTGTATTTGTATGTTGATGGGAGTGTTATCGCTAACAGCAGCTGTATTTGTTATCATGTACACTCCGGAAAGTAAGAGCCAATCCAAATTCTATGATTGCACTCTATTTTATGATAAACGCTTTTCTAACGATATTCTAGAATAACATAATGTCACTAATAGACCTGGGATAGATCAATTTATCTAAATTATATATTTGTTTATAAAAGCATTGGGATTTTGGAACTTTTTACAGTGTAAACTGTAATTTCTATTTCAATCTAATTTTCAACTGTATTCATTTGAACTTATATCGATACGTGTTCCATTGGACTCATGAATCTAAAGTCCATAGTTTTCCCAGAGATGTGAAAGAATTGATACATTTTGTACCTTGACTTCAGAGTGCTACTAGCCTGAAAATCACCAGCTTCGATCACTTTAAAGGGACATTCCGCTTTTTTGTGGGTCAAAAATTGTATTTGCTCAAATTACCCAACTCCAAAACTATTTAAAAACATTACGTAAGTTTACTTAAACTTTAAAGTTCGTTATGCTCTTTGGAACTACATGTACTGTATGGATTTGAGTAAAATAAACGCCTAATTTTAGAGAAATATTTCTACTTATTCTAAAGGTTTCAAATAATAAAATCGAGCCTTTATAAAGCCAAACACCGAAACTACGTCAAACTGCTTAATTAACAATTAACAGTTTTTAATTAACCCTTTTGAAACAAATTCAGTTTTATCAAGTGGATAGATAAACACAGGTATAAATAGTATAAATACTTTCAGTTATGATTTAAGACGTTTTTGATAATGAACATGTTTTACAAAAAAAAGCGGAATGCCCCTAGGCCAGAAGAAACATCAAATTAAAAGAAGAACAAATTGAGAATAATGTGGTCAATACGTAGTTATGCAAGACTTTTTTCATTTAACAGTTATCCATCAACCAATTTGTTTATCTCTCGTCTCACCACTATGAGAACCATTTCTAAACAGGATATAGGTATAATAAATAACGGTAGCCTGTGGGGTCTGATGACGCTCGTTTGTTATGTTGCTGTTAGCTGGATCGACCAGACTAATTCAAGAACATTGCCACCACAAATTGTTTTATCAGATGTTAAGTCAAACCTAACCTAACCTCTGTGATGCACATGAAAAATAAAGATCACAGCCAGAAGTGATGCAACTGTTTTTATTGACACAACAACATAAATTGAATTGTTGAATTTACAACAATAAGGCAAATACTACTGATTGACCAGAGGTGGTTTTTGTTTGTCCTTTTACATGTGGGGCTTGTTTTTCAAATATCATTTGGTGATAGCCCTTAAAAGCTTTTTTAAGTTGTTTAATTTGTTCTTATTTACAGCTGTTTCACTTATTCGCACCATAATTTGTTCTAACCCATACAAGCCATCATTTAAAAATTAAAAATTTTATCCTTAAGGTCTCTGTTGAACAGATCATTTGAGTTTTTTTAATACCAATGTGAACGTACCAAGTATTGTCAGATATATTGTTTCGTTTTACTATAATTATGTTGAATCAAGATTTCACGTGATTGACCATTGTGATCCAATGAAATTGGCATAGTTACCAAATCACCAAAAAATAATGGTAGCATTGCTAACTTTCTATCCATTCCATAAAGACTTGATGTTCATTTTACAGCTTTGTTTTTAATTCAATTAACATCTTTCAGATTTGAAATGGTTGATGACAGTATGTGCACTAGTTGGTCAATTTGGTGTAACTTGTGTCTTTGCTATTCTGTGGTTGTATACTGGTGAATTGTTTCCAACAGAATTAAGGAATATTGGAACAGGTACAAGTTCAGCCATGGCTCGTGTGGCTTCGTTGGCGGCACCATATTTTGGTCTTATCGTAAGTGTCAACTTTTTTTTATTTTATCTTGCTGATTCTGAAATCAAAACCTAGACAAAACCATATTTAAATCATTGCAGGCGCTCAAAGGTGATGAAACCTGTACTCAAGAGGGTCAATATTAAATTAGTGTTTTATGATTCAAAAAATGAACGTCATTTAGGTATTATAAAATGGCTTAACACTGCAGCTCACATATGGAATTAGTGCATGTCATGAAGATAAATCCTTTACAATTCCTCTGTTGAAACATCTCGAGATGCGCGGAAAGAATTTATAAAAAGATGTCGTCTATTAACATGATTAAACCATATACTATCTGATTTTAAAGGCATTCTTCAAAACAAATCCTTGTCATTTGGGTTAATATTAATATAACTTGACCATTTATGTTTTCTTTTCGTTTCAGAGTAGTTTTTTAACTGGTCCTATGAAAGAAACAGCACCATTTATATTATATGCTGGAGTGTGCTTGGTGGCTTTAATATTAGCATTCTGTTTATTACCAGACACCTCAAAGAAACGTCTACCTGAAACTATCCTTGATACTATACATTTTACAGAAGAGTAAGTTAACTCTTTCACTATACAATATATTATGTTCTTCTAATAACTATATCTAAAACACATGCCAACTATACATGATGAACACTAGTCAACCTATTATACCATTTCCACAAAAGTGTTCTTCTAAAACTAAAAGGTCTAACATAACTTTAATCAACGTCTTGAAATGTGCACGCAGGAGGCGTAAAAAATTGCGGAATTTTCATTTCGCACACGACATCCCAAAAATATTAATCTATCTTTATTCTGTTTTCTGTAGAAAAAGTATAGAGAGTTTTTGTAGTAGCAGTGAAAGCGGAAGTGGATCAGGAAAAGAATTACTTCCGGTTAAAAAAAATGATAATTTGATTATTTGAACTCTGGAAATGTAATACATAAAGATAGCATCGATAGCACAAAACGATGTTTTTATTGAATGTATTATACAATTTAGGAAAGAGATTTGAATTTTTCTATAACTTCTTTGTAACATTTCATCAAAACTCTTTTTAAAAGTGACATTGAAATAAGCATACACTAGTCTAAATACAATATAATATTATATATGAGAGTTTTTGCAAATTATACATTGACTTAAAAGCATGCAAAACCCTTGCAAACTACAACAACTGGAGTTTAGAGAACGTAATTTAATTCAGGGAGTTAATTTCAAGAAACGCTTTAATGATTCGTGAATGTTACAGAATAAGATTTGTATTCGTTATAGAATACTAGTGCAAACGTTGTCCAGCTTCGTTTTGAACACTTTCAAATTGGCATCAACCTGTCTGATCGGGTATGCATATCGAACAGGAAACGATTATCAGAACAATGCATATTGTATTCTTGTAAGTAAGGTCAAAGTTAGAAAGGTGCATGCTCTGAATACCTCTTAGTATTAATTTTTACAAGTAATATTATATATGAACCTTTTTTATTATATATGAAAATAATTTTCAATAGTATCTATTTATTATCATTTTTGTGTTCATAACGAATCGCTGGTTATTATTTTATTTTTCATCGTATCTATTTTGCCTGTCATCGAAATTCTGTACTCTGATGCTCATCTAAATGCGATTTTTATTATTAGAAATATGTATCGTAATCTGATTGGGTTAATATATTAAAATTATGTTCAAGTTCGAGGACACCTTGACAAATCTGTTGCCCCTACTCTACTTCTGGTAGAAACGCCACTGTGGGGGCGCAATCGCTGACTTCGAATATTGATAACGCAGTTAAAAGGTGTTCATACTGTGCTGCTACTGCGACAGAAAATTGGCTAAAGTGTTTAAGTCTGTATGAGCGTGGTATAAGCTCTCTAGATCACATAAAACCTACACTGACATAATGATAATGACATGTTTACTCATGAGTAAATAATAATATTATGATATTGACAATAAAATATAAAATATCATTATTTTATCATAATAATGTATGCTCTATTAAATATGTCAAGAATTAGAAAAATACAGTACAATGTATATTTCAGTTCAATGCACCCGGTTTGACTGGTGTGAGTGCACATGACTGATTCAGGTCACGGTAAATTATAGAATATTTATTATCTATTAGTGCCAAATAGCTGTGATAGTCTTATATGGATGCGGGTGCAACATTTTTCTTATCACAATATAATATTTGTGATCAGATGCCGCCCTTGACTTTTGAAATTAAATAAATATATTTTCATCAGTTACGTCCCTTGAACTTTTATAATTTATCAGTAAAGTCTCTATTTTGTAGTTTAAAAGTGCGTTCATATTTTTGGTGGGTTTTTTATTTCGTGTGGCGTCATACAGGGTATGCTTACTCTTCTAGACACTTAATACCACTTATTATTTTGTAATACTTACTCACTTATGATTAAACTTACTTATGATTGAACTCACTTATAACTGATATACTTCCTCATGTGAAAAGTTCATTAGATGCTACCAATGTTTTGCCGGTATGTAGTTTAGATTTCGTTTTGATTGTCAGAGCTTGGTTTATTAACTACTAAAAGACATAGAATATAGGGCAGAAAGAAAGATGAAAAAATGAAGTGAAATAGAGTTTTACATCCTACTTTTCTGCACCATGTTGGCTAATGAAGACGAGCAACGCCATGGAGGATGCAATGAGGGAACTTTTGACAGGACAGCAGCATTAGCCTGCACTTTTGCGATTTCCAGCTGTCGAGTCTGTAGCACACGTGGCCTCGGTTTATTGTCCCATCCAAACGACTAGACCCTGGACCTTCAGGTTAGCTAAATGAAATTAAGATAAAATGAATGGAGTTTTACGTCCTACTTTTCTTTATCATGTTGGCTAATGAAGACGGGCAACGCCATGCAGGGTACAATGAGGGGCATTTTGCCAGGACAGCGGCTTTAGCCTGCTCTTTTTCGATTTGTCGAGGGATCTTTAACGTTCAGGTTAGCGAGCAAGCGACTAACTCACTTAGAAAGAGAACTGTAGATTAGGCTATTCGTAAAGGTGAAAATAGAAGAGATGGACTTATTGGGATACTCTATTACATTGTGAAGTACCAGGTACGCATTGGAACATGTGCAATGCTTCTGACAACAGTGGTAAGAAGCCTTTATAAGACTGTTTCATTGGTTGAGTTTGGAATATATATTATGAATTTATAATATAAATCGTACGTTGAAAGTTTTGAATATCGATATGGTCCTAATCCATTGTTTTGAATTGTGTGATTCATTTATGTACAGGTAATAATCCTCTTTGACAGCTGAAGTATGTCTGGAGGATCTAACCAATACAAAGTAAGAAAAATTTTAATACCTGTTCCATTGCTTTCAAGAGTCGGCCCGGTGTCGGCTCTCGCCCCCTAATACCTACCAATACAAAGCCATGATTAGTTCTCTTGGCACTGTCATCAGAAGTATTACCCGGAGGTAACCTTTGTGCCTCTCATTTCAAAGAGCATCCTACAGTCCCATGCTGCGGTCTTTGCTAACTTCATAGGTAATCTTCTCCTTGACCCCTTGCATTCATTCATTAATACTTATTACAAAACACACGATATACTATTAATTTAAAAAACACAAATTATACATATAAATAACATAACATATAAAAAAGCACAAATTAAATATTTAAAAAACACACATTATGTGTCAACTATTATTGGTCAACTGTAATGATTATTTTCAAAATTATATTAACATTACAACTATAAATAAGATCGTTGATATGAATGTAAATATAAAAAATAATTTACAAAAGAAAGAATCCAGCGTTTGGGACAATTGTTCCCATGTCACCTTTTCTTCATTGAAATCTTTAACAAAATTCTGTGATATAGGATTGTTGGACACTGCTGCATCAAAAGACATGACAGAGACGTTTCTACCACGACATTTACCACAACTTCGAACAAACCAAACCGCAAGACGTGGCACGGGTTGGGTAGATTTCGTATGATGTAGTCTCAATATTGGAATAGCTAACAAAACAGATAGAGTACTAAGAACCAACAAAATAGTTAAATATACACCTAGCAAAGATATTTGTAAGGAGGTTTGGGGCATACTATCACTGATAATCGTCAAAAAGACAACATAAGCTAATAGCACAGTAATAGAAAGGGACATTTTTTCACCAGCATCACTTGGTAAAGCAAATGTAAGAGATCCCATCAGAGACAGAAGAAGTATTGGTAATATTAAATTTAACACATAAAATGTTCGTCTCCTCTGAATCTTTAGTTCAATATGAACCGCTGAATAAACTGCTTTGTCTCTTTTAACAATTGTAGCACCTAGCAAATTCCATTGTCCATTCGGGCTGTAATCTACTGTATTTACTTCAGGATTAAAAATTGTCAGGTTTAATTCGCTTATCGTAGACACCATTGTTTCTAAACTAATTTTACAAACTTGAACATCAAATGGATAATACGTTGTATCTATATCACAAGATGTTTTAAACAACATACTGGGCTCCCATTCCAAATATCCATCTGAATTTAAACGAATCGGCAGTTCATCAAATCCAATTTTTGTTCTTTTTTCCACTGAGTTAGCGACGACAATATCTGGTCTCCAAACCTTTTTCTGGGGAACCACCATATTCTGTAAATCACCATATTCCGATTGGTTCCAAGACAAAAAGTCGTCTTGCCAATAAAGATAAACATACCCTAAACTCACCAATGTTTGATCTTTTTCTTGTAACTCGCTAATTGAAATAAGAGAGAAGTCTATCATAATAGGCAATATTTCTTTATCATCATTTACTGGTCGAATATCCGAATTATATCCGGTAAATAAAAAACTATGTAAGTTGTAATAATCAGTCTTATCAGCACTGTTTACTATGGATAATGAAATTACAAATAAGAATAGGGATGTTACAGGATTGTTTTTCATCTTTCTTTTTTCCAATTTGATATTTGTGTATTCTTACTGAAATAGAACATAAAATGAAATATTTAATAGATTATAATGATAATCATGAAAAAAAAAATGGCATCATTGTATATTGATAACCTTGAATGTGAGCACGTGAATTGTGAGAATCTGCTCACCGTGAAAATGGTTATGAGACATCGGTTTATCGAGGGAGTGAAAATAATAATTGATCATTGTGATGAGACATGATTAGACCGTTGATTCGATTGTGGGCGTGAAGAAGATAATTGGATTGTGAATGGTTAGGCATTTTACGTAAATCAGCAATACGCCTATCCACTTTATTGTTGAGAGTTGTAATCTGCAAAATTGTATCTAACTCAGTGCGTAACAAATTGTATGTCCGGGTCGTTTGTTGTTCGACTAGACTTGACTGCTATAAAATGCCCTCGCAGTCCGTCCATGAAAATGTTTTTGAGGATACTCTGAATAATGGTATGAACTAAGTCATCTCAACTGTACATGTCCCTAGAATATGGCCGCCAAAAGTTTTAACCAATTCTCCAAAATTTTGTTTCAGGCTTAACAAGTTTTTCTTAGCAAATTGAATATCAGACAAATCGTTAAATCGAATTTTTAAGGAAGATTTTAGTTCTAGCCACAGTTCTTAAACAGGGTGGGTTGTTTTTTATGTAGCGGATGACGTAATGAGCCGACAGTCCCGTTACCGCTAATCATCCACATGATAAAGCAATCCAACTCGCTCAAGGTCTCGTACCCAGTACGAAAATTTGTGCCTTCCCCCGAAAATGTTTCAAATAAACACGAAGTTCTGACTCTAGTTGATAAAAATTCTCTGCAAGCATTTCAACAGGTACAGCTTCATTGGCGGGCATTTTGCAAAATGAGTAGTTAGGTTAATTGGGTGCTAACAAAGAAAATCCTAGCAATAAATTAATTAAGTACGATCTTAATCCTATGAATTAGTGGTCAAAAGTTTTTCGGAATTGTAAGGCTACTTACTTACTGGCTGTCCTGCCTCCCTTCTTCGTTTTTAGTTGTTGTTAATACCTTGTAGTTGTTGACTTCACTTTGTGTGTGACGACCACTGCTTAAAAGTCTTTGTTGGTGTCCCAGCTTTACAGTTCTTTCAATAAAATATCAGTTTTATTAATTCGCGTACAGCAATTTAACTAGTGAGACAGTATTCTTAAACATGGAATCCACTGGAATGGTCGAACTGGAAGTGCAGTGTTGTCCATTCAATATTTACAAAGTATATTCATTGAAAAAGCCGACTAGCTCTCTCATTAATTATAAAGTAGAATTATCACGCTGATAAATAATTTATGCCGGACATTTGAATGACCAACAAATTAAAGGGTAATTCGAATGTGATATATTAGAGACAATTAAGTCCACATATTAATTAGTCCACGTCATGGGCTGTGATTTTACTACATATTCACAGTCCACCGGCATTCCGTAATGATTGTAATATGTAGTTCATGAGAGCCAATCAAATCGCTTAATCAGCCTTCAGAAAAATGACAGAGACAAATTTAATAATTTTCGCTACTCGCCATTCGATTAAAATTTTGCAATAAATTAACGTCGCTAGTTGTTAATCTTTAATGGACTTCAGTGTGTATACGTTGTTCTATGCGTGAAGTGCAAATTTGGTCGATTTCAGCGCACATGTAAGTTCAAAATTTGACTATAAACCACAGCAACATACACATCTTTAGTCTGAAAGTATTAACTACATATTAATGG